TTGCCTCTAGAGCCTCAGACGCCGAGGGATCTTCTAGAATGCGTCGCCGAAATAAATCATCTGCAAAACCTACCATTGAACAATCTAAAGCCGAGTTGCCAAAAACTCCTGAAAAATATATGGGGGTCCCGTCGATCTCGATGATTTCGTCATAGCACTGGTCGAAGACGCCGACGAATTGTCGAGGTGCCTCACATGACCCTTGGAGCCCCCCATTCCTGGTGATAAATGCTTCGGGCTTGTTATCTACTTCAATTAAAACCACACTGTTGATCAGGCGCTGCTTCGCGAAGTCCTGTCGGTCCTCGCGCACCATTACTTCGGAGGTATGGGTTAAAAGATCCTCCGTGGATGGACATAAGAAAGCGTTCGTCATGTCGTGAAGCTCGCATACATGGGGGATCCTGGCTTTTCGCAGAGACCAGCCTAGTCGTAGTTGTACTAGTATGGCCCCCTCCCTCCTCCGATACTTCAGAAATCCATGCCATCGTCCCGAAAACGATTTGTCATATGCCTCATCTTTATCCCCCCGGCTGTATAGTACTGAATACCAATATTTCCAACACGCATCTGATAAATGTACTATCCTCTGGCTAAACATGTTAGACTTGCCGTTAGACTTGTCAAGCAGGATCCCCTCAGTGATACTAGACTTGGTGGGGGGCTGCCCCACCTCGAAAGACCGAATCAGAATATTTTCAAACTCCAGGCGTGCTCTCGTCATCTCAGCTGTTGTAGCCAAGATGTGTTCACGTCCGTCAGGGGCTCGTTGTTCTTCTGAGGCTTCCCGTCCTGAGTAGAGCGTAGTTGGCTGCCCTGTCCGAGGTTCAGGAGGGGGAGGAGGCTCGGCTGTTGCCTCCGATTCCGCTGCATGTGTGTCGCAATCGAGGTTGTCGATCTCTGCGAATGGGTCAGCGTCATCCTCGTCGGCGGTGTTCCAACGTAGAGGTAGCCTGTCAGCCTCCGACGTGAGGGCCTGGTCCTGATGTCGTTTGTCCTGGGCCTGGGGTAACCAGCTGGGGGTCGTGGCGACAGTCGGCGGCGAAGCCTGCCCTTGATGGCCCAATCCTTGTCGCTCATCTGGTGCGTCGTGATGTACAGAGGTGACGCCGTACCCCAGGCCGAACTTGGAATATCGCTGCTTCGAAAGATGTCCAGGTGCAAGTACTATTAATGCCAGTTCCGATGGTACACTCCACTTCGGCCCACAGCGTCTGCCACGGGCTCGTCTTAACTTCCAAATCATTTGTCGGACCATGACAGAGGCGGTGATCTCCATGCTGGTGTTGCGACGCTTGATGATGGGTGGTTCCTCCGAAAAGAAGTCGCGAAGCATGAGATTCAAGTCGGGAATGTGTGTCGCTTCCATGCCCCCATCTGATCCGTGTCGTGCGAGATGTCCTTTCAGTTCATCCAGTGACGGCTTATAAGAGGAAATAGCATTGCAACGTCGGTTCTTCACACCAGTTGATCGTCCAGAGAGTAGGCGTGCAAGCTTGTGTACTTCGGCTTGCTGGCCCAAAGCTCGCGCCTCACGCAATTCTCGATGTGGGCGTTCGCGGTGTGCCGCTCGACGCCGTCGAGCCCAACGTCGTAGTTGGCATGAAATGCGCTTGATCTTAGCCAAAACGCCAAGGTACTCATCTGTAAAATCAGGAAGGTGTCCATATGCCTTCCAGTGCTCTGCTGCCTCGAGTCTGTAAATCTTGCGTTGTTTAACCAGGGCTACACGTTCTTGTTGGAGTCGGTGTTCCGCTGCGTCGGTAGATCTATTCTCCAATGCGAAATGTTGAAGTCCGATCTGCTGTACGATCTCCGCCCACTTGTCATAGAAGTCGTCCGTGTGCTGATGGTTCGTGGTGCACTCATTGAAATAGTCTGCTTGTGCCAGCATAGCTGTCTCCAACTCATGATGAAACTCCTCTCTCCCGATGCCCGTCTGAAGTGCTGTGGATAGCTTCTGAAAATCCCATCTTGCTTTTGGAGCCAGTGGTGTCGGGATGGGGAGCTCATATTGCATTTCCAAAACGACAGGGACGTGGTCGCGGGGGGCGCTCTTGGGGATCAGCTGGAGACTTCGACCTGCTTGCCATGCGACACTACAGTGGCGAATCCCTGGCCCAAGACCTTTAGGAATGGCGAAAATGTCCAACGTTGATGTGTCTCCCTGGGCCCCGAAGTATGTGGGTCCTGCTTTTGGCCAGAAAGTCCCTGGTGACATCATTCCGAGATCGAGAAGCATGTTCGAAAAAAATTCGCCTGCGGGTCCATTTGGTCGAAGGTGATGGGGCCCTAGGAGGTCCTGGTCAAGATCCACGGGGGTGCCGTCCTCCCAGAGCCCAAATCCAGAATTTATATCCAAACCACATATCGGTGTACTTCTCGCTCGAGTTAATTCTAGTCGGTGTCGAACATGTTTCATAACTGTCGTGGCCGCCTGGATCTGCGCTCGTCTTTTATGTCCACTCGCATATATAGGTGGGGGGTATGCACATATAGCCGTTAAATCAATATGTCTACTCTTAATTCTGATCTCTCCATATCTGCCTGCAATACTTCGTGGTCCTGCCTGTACTGCATACACATGTTGTCGCTTCAATCGTCGTCCAAGTACTATGCATACCCCCGCGCTGTTGTTACTGAAAGGAGCTCTCTGCCAGCCGAAGTGGATAGCTGTATATTTGTTGCCAATATCTTCTGTGTGCAAATCTCGGCCTGTCCATTCCCTCACCCTTGTCCCTGGCAGCATGATCAGGTCACAGTTCAGGGTTTCCGCGATCTCCCGGAGGCGGCCTGCGGGTACAAGGGAGAGGGGGTTGTAGAGGGCGACGCGCAGGAGGCCCACCATCAGCCCCCTGTATAGGCTCGCCAGATGCATCGGAGGCCGAGCCAGGCTGGTATAAGGTGATTGAACGCTAAATCTCTCTGGGAGCGAGGGGGTCGCTGCCGCTGCTGAATGTGGGTTTGGGAGGAGATGGCAGCTAGGAGGAGGAGGAGGAGGAGGAGGAGGAGGAGGAGGAGGAGGAGGTCCTGGCCCTTGGGGCCCTCGCCCCGAGCCAGCTTTGTCGTCCCGAGGCGTGTCCCGGGACAGTCCCGGGGGGCACGCGGGAGGCCCAGGGAACCCGAAGCCCTCAGGACCCGTTTCCCTCAAGACCCGTCCTCCTCCCCCCTCCCCCTCCTCCCTCCCCCCTCCTCGTCCCCCCTCCCTCCTCCTCCTCCTCCTCCTCCTCCTCCTCCTCCTCCTCCTTCTCTTCCTTAGGGGGCCACATATGAACCCTACCCCTACCCCCCACGATTTCTGAGGGGGAGGGCGGAGTTCACTTCGGTCGCTCTGCCAGCCCCCGGCCAGGAGAGACGGGCGCTGGCACAAGCAAGCGGAGGCGGCTGGGCAATCGGGAGATCAACATGCCACCAGGCGTGCCGTTGCCGGGTTTCTCGCCGTGGGCAAGCCTCGCAGGGATCCTGGCACGACCGCCCGGCAACATGGGAGGAAGACAGAAGAGAGACAGAGAGGCGTACATACAGAAAGATATGCATGGCGACTCCTCAACTGGTCTGTCACTCTCTATTGGCTCCAACTTCCCCCCGCACTGGGGGCAATCCGAACACTCACTCCGTCAATGAATGGCGCCTTCAAACGTGGCGCACTTACACCCGGGTCACCTCAAGTCAAGACATCTCGGAGCCAGGGATTCCGAGGATGTCTCGGGCGAAACGGGCCTGAGCACCTCGCGGACCACGTCTTGAGATCCAGTCGTGCGGACGTCTCGGGCGAGACGGGCCAGAGCACCTCAATGAAGGGCATCTCGCAGTAGCCCAGGGTTCGGAGGATGTCCCAGGCAAAACAGGCCTGAGTACCTCGCGATGGAACCCAGAATTGTGAGGATGTCTCAAGCGAAACGGGCCAGAGCACATCGCGAGCCGCAAATCCACAGGTGTGAGTTGCGAGGATGTCTCAAGCCAAGCGGGCCAGAGCACCTCAATTCAAGGCATCTCGAAGCCTGGGGTTCTGAGGATGTCTCAAGCGAAACGAGCCTGAGCGCCTCGTGCAACTCAAGCCAGAGTTGAGAGGACGTCTCAAGCCGAACGGCCAGAGCCACGGATTCCGAGGATGCTTCAGGCGAAACGCGCCTGAGTACCTCGCGAATCAGATCTTTTTTTTTTTACATCCACGGCCAATGACCACAAGTCGGGGCAGAGAGTCAGAGACCCATCCAGCGAAAGCAGGATGGGAGGGCGGACAAGCACAGAGAAATGGCATGGGTGTCTCACGCAGGAGCCTTCAAAGCGGAGGCCCACTCAAGTGACCAGGCGCCTCTTGGGAACTCCCGGCAGCGACTCTGATCGGATGGACGCGAGGGACCCCGAGACGAACGCCTCACAGGGGGCGCCACGAACCTCGGCGGCCCTCGTGGACCGCAGCCCACGCAGCAGCCCCAAAGCGGTGGCTCAATCAAGTGGCAACCAGATGCCACCGAACGTGGTGCAGACTGGCGCGAGCTGCGCACAGAAGAGGCAGAGGCCCGCACAACAGACAACCACTGACAGCAGTACGAACTGGCGCGAGCACGGCACGGAAAACTCTGAAATTGCTGCTCCTTTTTCCGCTTCCGCCCCCCCCCGCTCGCCCGCGACGCGACGAACGACCACTCCTGATCCCTCGAGAAAGAAACCGCTCTACCTGGAGCTCTGCCGTGCGGACATGACAGGGCAAGCCTGCGAGCGAGCAGAGCTCGCGCTCCCGCTCCTAGCATGATATAAGAGCTGGAGGGGGCCACCCAGGCCTGAGCCTCTCGCCCAGGGCCATTGCAGGCCCGAGTCATCGAAACAAACGCAAACAAAAAACACGCGTGGCGCTCCGAGCCGCCAAAGACGCCCGCCCAGACCACGGTCCCGAGAGAGGCGGGAAATGCCCTATCTGGCCCCTCGCCCCTCCCCCAACCGTCCTTCCTGGGAGCTCTTGAGAAGCTCTCCTCCTTTTGCTCCTCTCCCTCCCCCCTCCTCCCCGTAAGCAGCATCCGCTCCAAATCGTACTCGTCCGGGCCACTCCGCCAACTGAAATGACACAGGCCATGGCCGGGCGGCACGCCGGCTGTGGTCGCTCGACCGCGGCGCTCGATCGAAGACCGCCTCAGCCGATGGATCGAGGAGTCAGGCGTGCGAGGTCGGCGAGGCCAACGTCTTGAAAGCAGTGCACCTCGAACGGCCCATCGTCCTCTCGCATCAACCCTCTGCGGCCTGTCTGCATCTGCCGCAACGACCGCATCGCTTTGGAAGCGGCGAGGCTTTCGGTGGTTGACGTCCGCTGAATATCGCCCCTGTCCCTGGTGTTGCTGCACAGCTCCCTGAGGGACTCGGCGCTGCCCTGCTGTGTAATTTGCGACCTCGCCAATCCGTATTTCCACGACAAGCCTGTGAGGAACACTAGCGCAAGCAGAGCAACCACAAAACCAACTCCTAGAGGAAGGATAACAAAGTCTTCGAAAAAAACAATACAAGCACTGATCATCCACTGCCCCTGGTCATATGACGCCACATTCGCGAAGAACAAGCACACGTAGTTGCCTGCAAGCAGACAATAGGCGGGTCCGAGTACCCAAATAATCGCGTCGTTTCGACGCCATTTTCGGAGCTGTATGCGCCAGTCCGGGCTGCCCTCATAAGCCACGCGAACGAATTCCCGCTGATGCAAAGAATTCAGTATGGAAATCGGGACGCCAGCGATCAGCGTGCTGACCATTCCGATGGCTATTAATCGCCCGAAATGCATGTATGCACAAGTCGCACTGTCTACGCCGCTGTCAGGGTCCAGGCAATCGGACTCACACCCCTTCGGTGACTTCTTGCTTAGGGCGCCACCAGTCGCGGAGCAAAAGACGGTCGCCAACATCATGGACCCCAATAAGTCGCAGCACAGATAGAGGGCCCGCAATGAATGAGACATCGTGATGCTGCGGCAGAACACGGACCCCAACGGGCCGTGGACAAGCAGCGACATAACCAGAGATCTGGCGAGGTGGCACCAATTCGCGTGGCGGTTGAAGTTGTACCTCTGGTGCTCGAGCACGTGGTCCCTCAGCTCCTTCAGCCGCCTGAGACGTCGAGCGGCGCCCCGGGAAAAGAGCCCTGCGCCCGCAAGCGTGACTGCACTCTGCGAGGCGTTCGCCTCGCCGTCCACGTCTAAGACATGGTCGAAGCTGCCGCAGTCAAGGCTGCTTCGGCGAAATGCGTCTGCGACTGCGTCGTCCACATCGCCCGTGATCCCTTGCTTCGGCGAAATCAGCTGGTCCACGTCCTCGTTGAGCAAGACTCCCAAGTCGTCGGCAAGCAGAAAGTACGAGGCCGAAGTGCTCCGTAGGACACTCTTGGAAATGATTATGGGGGCAAGGGCGTGAAGGAAGCCGCCTTCAAACTGGCACACCATCAGCTCCTCCAAAACACTCCGGATATGCCCGAGGTATGCGAAGAACGTGCCGAGGAGGTCGTCGACCGCTTCTTTCAGACCCCCGACGACGCCTTCTGTGCAACATGCTAGGTTGCCCTGGCCGACGCCGACACCTGCTGCCAACGCGGCCATGCCCGTCGCTGGCGCCGCGGCGTTGGCGATCAGGAAATACTCTGTCTTCCAGAAACCCCGTCGGCGCTCGATCTCGTCGAGGACACAGGCGGCCGCAACCATGACGACTAAGCCTCCCAGGACGAGGAACAACAGCTGGGTGCCCACGCTGTGGTACCAGGTGCCATTCATGAGCTCAATGTAACTGTCAGCCGCGAGCAGCGAGGCCTGGGTGCACTGGAGCGTGGACAGGAACCCCGAGAGGATCGCCCCGAAGAAGGTGAGGTGCAACGTGGCGCACCAGACGCTGCCGTCTGCCGCGAAGCCGTCCGCGTAGACGCCCTCGGTGGTCCACTCGCCCGCGCCCTCGTCCAGCCACGCGCACGTCAGCCCGCTCGAGCTGGAGCTGGGCAGGGAGAAGCGGATCGGCTCGGCGAGATCCGAGACGGAGATGCGGCTGCCAGCCAGCTCGAAGAAGTTGATGCTGATCGCCGACAGCAGCTCCTGGGTAACGCCCTCGCCGGTGGTCCGCGGGCCCTCGGCGAAGGTGGCGAGGGCGCCGGGCTCGACGGTGGACGCCACCACGACCGCGTCGCGGAGGCCAAAGTCCGCGAACAACGACAACGGAAAAACGACGCTCGCGCCGATGTCCGCCATATCGACCCTGACCGACTCGTCCGACGCATCCGTCGAAATATTCACCACACGCGCGACGCTGACGATCCCCTCCGCTGTCACCACTGCGTTGAGGCTGTTGCTCGCAAGCAGGGCACCAAGCACGGAATCTTCCAAGCGTCCGATCGCCGCCATCGTTACCGGAGCGGCCGTGGGCGCTGGAGTCGGAGCGTCTGTCGAGTGATACACAGAGACAATAGAACCAACTGGGTATGAGTTCGTAGTTCCGTCGGCCAGAACGATCGGCCCGATGCCCGAGATTGTCCCCAATTCGCTGACGCCACCACCAGCGATCAAAATCACATCTCCGACTCTGAAGCCTAGCACGGACACCACCGCTAACTGCGTGGCGCCTGCAGCAGCGGGCAACGCCAACGTAGTCGACACAACCCCTCTCTCTGTGATGGTTGTTGCAGTCGTGGAGGATACAGTTGCCGTCTCTGTTGTGGCAGTCACCGTTCCTGTGGTGCCAGTTCCTGTTGAGGATGAGCTCGTCGCCGTTGCCGTGCCCGTATCCGTGATGGCTGTCGCCGTCTCCACGGAGGTGCTGAATGTACTCGAAGACGAGCTCGTGGACGTCCCGGTGATGGCCGTCGTCGTCTCCGTGGTGGCGCTCACTGTCGTGGAGGAGCTGGTGGCTGTCGCCGTTGACGTGGTGGAACTGGTTCCTGTCGCCAAAGTAACAGTTGAAGTCTCTGTGGTGGAGGTGCTCGTGGCAGTCTCTGTAGTGGCAGTCTCCGTGGTCGCCGTGGTGGCCGTTGGCGTCTCCGTGATAAAACTTGCTGCCGTGGTCGAGCTCGTGGCTGTCGCCGTCTCCGTGGAGGTGCTGGCTGTACTTAAAGACGAGGTCATAATGGTCTCGCTGGTGGCCGTCGTCGTCTCCATGGTGGCGCTCGCGGCTGTCGCCGTTCTCGCTGCAGCGGGAGAACTGATGTCCGACGCCGAAGAAGTAACAGTTGCAGTCTCTGTGGAAGCGCTCGTGGCAGTCTCTGTAGGGGCAATCTCCGTGGTCACCGTGGTGGCCGTTGGCGTCTCCGTGATAAAACTTGCTGCCGTGGTCGAGCTCGTGGCTGTCGCCGTCTCCGTGGAGGTGCTGGCTGTACTTAAAGACGAGGTCATAATGGTCTCGCTGGTGGCCGTCGTCGTCTCCATGGTGGCGCTCGCGCTCGTCGTTCTCGTTGCAGCGGGAGAACTGATGTCCGACGCCGAAGTAACAGTTGCAGTCTCTGTGGAAGCGCTCGAGGCAGTCTCTGTAGGGGCAATCTCCGTGGTCACCGTGGTGGCCGTTGGCGTCTCCGTGATAAAACTTGCTGCCGTGGTCGAGCTCGCGGCTGTCGCCGTCTCCGTGGAGGTGCTGGCTGTACTAAAAGACGAGGTCATAATGGTCTCGCTGGTGGCCGTCGTCGTCTCCATGGTGGCGCTCGCGGCTGTCGCCGTTCTCGTGGCAGCGGGAGAACTGATGTCCGACGCCGAAGTAACAGTTGCAGTCTCTGTGGAAGCGCTCGCGGCAGTCTCTGTAGTGGCAATCTCCGTGGTCACCGTGGTGGCCGTTGGCGTCTCCGTGATAAAACTTGTTGCCGTGGTCGAGCTCGCGGCTGTCGCCGTCTCCGTGGAGGTGCTGGCTGTACTAGAAGACGAGGTCAGAATGGTCTCGCTGGTGGCCGTCGTCGTCTCCATGGTGGCGCTGGTTGTCGTGGAGGAGCTCGTGGCTGTCGCCGTTCTCGTGGTGGAGGAAGAACTGATGTCCGACGCCGAAGTAACAGTTGCAGTCTCTGTGGAAGCGCTCGAGGCAGTCTCTGTAGTGGCAGCCGTGGTCACCGTGGTGGCCGTTGGCGTCTCCGTGATAAAACTTGTTGCCGTGGTCGAGCTCGCGGCTGTCGCCGTCTCCGTGGAGGTGCTGGCTGTACTAAAAGACGAGGTCATAATGGTCTCGCTGGTGGCCGTCGTCGTCTCCATGGTGGCGCTCGCGGCTGTCGCCGTTCTCGTGGCAGCGGGAGAACTGATGTCCGACGCCGAAGTAACAGTTGCAATCTCTGTGGAGGTGCTCGCGGCAGTCTCTGTAGTGACAGTCTCCGTGGTCACCGTGGTGGCCGTTGGCGTCTCCGTGATAAAACTTGTTGCCGTGGTCGAGCTCGCGGCTGTCGCCGTCTCCGTGGAGGTGCTGGCTGTACTAAAAGACGAGGTCATGATGGTCTCGCTGGTGGCCGTCGTAGTCTCCGTGGTGGCGCTCGCTGTCGTGGAGGAGCTCGTGGCTGTCGCCGTTCTCGTGGTGAAGGAAGAACTGGTGCCCGACGTCGAAATAACAATTGCAATCTCTGTGGAGGTGCTCGCGGCAGTCTCTGTAGTGACAGTCTCCGTGGTCGCCGTGGTGGCCGTTGGCGTCTCCGTGATGGAACTTGTTGCCGTGGTCGAACTAGTGGCTGTCGCCGTCGTGCTGGTGCTGGCTGTACTAAAAGACGAGCTCGTGATGGTCTCGATGGTGGCCGACGTCGTCTCCGTGGTGGCGCTCGCTGTCGTGAAGAAGCTCGTGGCTGTCACCGTTCTCGTGGTGGAGGAAGAACTCGTGTCCGACGTCGAAGTAGCAGTTGAAACCGTAGTCGAAGCCTCACACATGTACTCCCACACGTCGTAACCATTAGGACAATTGTTACTATTGAAATGTGGATTCAGATCTGGCAGAAACCAATCAGCTTCACACATCTGCCCACCCGTCATTCCGATGAAGCATTCGGGCAAGTCGCAACCAGAAACATCTTCATCAGAGCATGGGCACGACGATACAGGCGAGAACCAACAAGCCGTGTGCGGCGTCGTCCGAGTCGAAACCCGTGTGGGGTTGCGCGTGGGGTTGGGCGTCGGGTGGGGCGTCGGGTGGGGTGTCGGTTTGGGCGTCGGATTGGGCGTGAGATTGGGCGTTTGGGGAGGTGCGGGGTACGATGTTGGCAACCCCGCCGCCGGGGGGGCGGGCCCCGAGCCGCGGACCCCGAGCGGCTGCCCCAGGCGCAAGCAGGTGGACAGCGAGAGGAGCACCACCATAGCCACGCCGCGCCTGCCCATTGTCCCCTGGGCGCTCCTCGGCTTGGGCCAGGCTCGGAGTGCCAGAAGAGACGCCTCGCGAGGAGGAGAAAAGCATGGGCCCAGGCAGAGGACAGCTGGAGGGTGAGGGGGGGGGAAAAGATGCTCTCCAGAAGCTGGCCAGTGTGCTTCGATGCCTGCTATCGGTCAGTCACAACTCGCAATGCTCTGCGACCCGGCGTGAGTGTCCCTGCTCGGGGGGTCCCAGTGTGCTTAACACCTGCTGCCTATTAGAGCTCGCCGTGCTCTGCCGGCAGGCTCTGCCAGGGGATGCGGCGTAAGGCACGCTGATCGGGCATTCTCAGTGTGCTTCGAACCCTGCAGACAATTGTTGCCGTTGGGGTCTGCGAAGCTCTGAGGTACAAAAGTCACTGCAGCAGCAGTCGCAGTGACGGTCACCTGCGGCAGACTCATCAAATCACAGGCACCAGCCAGTAGCTGCTAACGGAGGCAAACTCTTGCAGCTGTCAGGCCCACATCTGTGCCCATGCACCAGTAATTTTGCTTGCGCGGATGTGTCCCAGACAGTGCCTGCACCTGATAAACAACACTCAGGATGCAAGTACACACTGTGCGGGGTCCGAGCTGCTCTCCTGATGAGGGCCCGGCGCACGTCCTTCCCTGCGTTCCCCTTCTCCCCCCCTCCCCGCGCTATCCTGTCGTGCCATCCCTTCGTCTGTCTTCGTCCTCCCACCTCTGCCAAAGGGCTCTTGTGCCGGTAGAAACTGCGTGGTCCAAGCTGGCAGCCATGATGTGCGCGGCCAGTCGAGCTTGGATAAACGGCGACAACGGCGATCTTGGGTCATAGTGTTGGGCTGCGTTGGGCCGTCTTGAGGCCTTTTAAGGGCGATCCGAACGATGTTTGGAGTATCTTATTCCCCAAACAGCTTGCTGAACGGGGTGCTGTTGTGGTAGAAACTAACTCCGGCCGAGGGAAGTCGGAGCAGAGACATCCTCACAAAAATTGGAGGTTTTGGCCGTTTCGCTTGAGACATCCTCACAACTCTCGTTTCTGAGTTGGCCGGGATTGGCCGTTTCGCCTGAGACATCCTCAAAAAGTTGCGCTCCGGGACGCCGCGCGAGAGGTGGTCCGGGCCGTTTTCGCCTGAGACATCCTCAAAAAGCTTGCGCCTCGCGAGGACTGAGCCGCCGTGCGAGAGGTGGTCCGGCCCGTTTCGCCTGAGACATCCTCGAGAAGTTGCGCTCCGGGACGCCGCGCGAGAGGTGGTCCGGGCCGTTTCGCCCGAGACATCCTCGAAACTCTGAGCTCTGCGATGCCTTGCGCGAGGTGGTCCGGCCCATTTCGCCTGAGACATCCTCGAAACTCTGACTTCGGAGATGCCGCGCGAGAGGTGGTCCGGCCCGTTTCGCCTGAGACATCCTCGAACTTCTGAGCTCTGAGATGCCCTGCGCGAGGTGGTCCAGCCCGTCTCGCCTGAGACATTCTCGAAACTCTGAGCTCTGCGATGCCTTGCGCGAGGTGGTCCGGCCCTTGTCGCCTGAGACATCCTCGAAACTCTGACTTCGGAGATGCCGCGCGAGAGGTGGTCCGGCCCGTTTCGCCTGAGACATCCTCGAACTTCTGAGCTCTGAGATGCCCTGCGCGAGGTGGTCCGGCCCGTCTCGCCTGAGACATCCTTGCAACTCTGAGCTCTGAGATGCCGTGCGCAAGGTGGTCCGGCCTGTTTCGCACAAGACATTCTCGCAACTCTGAGCTCTCAGATGCTGCGCGAGAGGTGGTCCAGCCTGGGCGCCCAGAAGACCACATGTTACATATCCTCCATGGGACCCTGCGAGCCTCAGGAGGCCCCAGAGAGGTCCAGGAGGCCGCAGGACGCCCAGGACAGGCCCCAGGGGCCCCCAGGAGATTCCCAGGAGGCTCCCAGGAGGCCCCAGGAGGCCCTCTATCAGAACGTGTCAAGTTAATACACATCCGGTGTCGATTCGTTGATTTTTCCTGCTCTTGTGCCCCCCCTCCATTTTGAGGGGCCCAAGCGGCCACAGGTTAGATATCCCCCTGGGAGCCCCAAGAGGCTTCAGGAAACCTCAGGTGGAGTTCAGGAGGCCACAGGAGAAAAGCCCAGAAAGAAACCGGATAAGGCAAACGAAAAAAAAGAACACAAAAAAGAAAAAACCCAGGAGAGGAAAAAGGAAAAAAAAAAAAGCAAAGAAAAATAAAAACAAGAACAGAAAACCAGGAAAAAATGGAAAAACAAAAAACAAAAAAAACGAAAAGAAAACAAAAAAAAAAAAAAAAAAGAAAAAAAAAGAAAAAAAAAAAAAGGAGAAATTTTCCAGGAATAAAAAAAGAGCCAAGAGGCAAGAAGTCCCCAGGAGGCACCAGGAGGCACCAGGAGGCCGCAGGACGCCCAGGACAGGCCCCAGGGGTCTCCAGGAGATTCCCAGGAGGCTCCCAGGAGGCCCAGGAGGCCGCCTATCAGAACGTGTCAATTTAATACACATCCGGTGTCGATTCGTTGATTTTTCCTCCTCTTATGCCCCCCCTCCATTTAGAGAGGCCCAAACGGCCACAGGTTAGATATCCCCCCTGGGAGCCCCAAGAGGCTTCAGGAAACCCCAGGTGGAGTTCACGAGGCCACAGGAGGCCCAGGAGAAGCCCCAGGAGGTCCCCAGGAGGCCCTAGGAGGCCCCAGGAGGCCCCAGAAGGCCACCGCAACTCGGAGCTCTGAGTCGCCTCGCTCGAGGTGGTCCGGCCCGTTTCGCCTGAGACTTCCTCGCAGCACGTTTCGCCCGAGACATCGTCGCAACTCTGGGGTCCGAGATGCCGCGCGCGAGGTGGTCCAGCCCGTTACGCTGGAGACATCCTCGCAACTCTGGGCTCCGAGATGCCTTTCGGGATGAAGAGGAGGTGGACGAGGAGGAGGAGGAGATGAGGGGGGTCTCTATATATTGAACTACGTACTGAACAAAAAAAACGACAAACGAACTGATTTTCCTGAATGCTGAAATCCCTGTTTTATCGGCAAACAACGCGACATGAAGAACCATGCCCACCCTTCTCGAACAACGACAAACAAACTCGCATTTCGATGTGAACTACTCGACTCAAACGACGAACAACACATACAACAACCAACATTTCGGGATGAACAAAAGACTGGAGAAAATAATAACACTTCTACGCTAACATGCGAACTTTGGATGAATCAATTCCTGAACGAATCCGCGAAACCAATCCACAATTTCTGAAATTGATCGGGGCCGATGGGGCCCCACGCGCATTCCTTTCGAAATGCTTGTGCTTTACCTCTTGGATTCGATTCGGTCTCCGAGCCGGATCGCCAGACGAAACAAAATGCAAAAATCCCAAATCCAGAGAACTGGTTAAAAAAAACAATGTGTTTTCCAATTGGATAGGGGCCGATGGGGCCCCACGCGCATTCGTTCCAAAATGTTGGCATTTTACCTCTTGGATTTAATGTTGACTCTGAGCCGGGATCGTCAGACGAAACAAATAAGATGTACGAAAATCCCCAGTCCAGAGGACCGGTCAAAAAGCCATTGGTATTCCAATAGGAATCGGGGCCGATGGGGCCCCACGCGCATTCCTTCCAAAATGTTGGTGCTTTACCTCAGGTCAAGTGGTGGCCGCGACGAACGACGGCATGAATCTGGATGACTTACCCACTTGCGCCGCGCGGTGGACGAACGACGGAGCGAACCTGGCGCTACTTACCTACTTGTAGCCGGTTAAACCCCTCTCATAGGAGGAGGAGGAGGAGGAGGAGGAGGAGGAGGAGGAGGAGGAGGAGATGGACGGGAGAAGGAGGAGGCGGATGATGTGCATGAGGGAGCAGGCAGGAGGAGGGGGAGGCCCCAGAGAGCTCCAGGAGGCCGCAAGACGCCCAGGACAGACAGGCCCCAGGGGTCCCCAGGAGATTCCTAGGAGGCTCCCAGGAAGCCCCAGGAGGCCGCCTATCAGAACGTGTCAAGTTAATACACATCCGGTGTCGATTCGTTGATTTTTCCTGCTCTTGTGGCCCCCCCTGTATTTTGAGGGGCCCAAGCGGCCACAGGTTAGATATCCCCCCTGGGAGCCCCAAGACGCTTCAGGAAACCCCAGGTGGAGTTCAGGAGGCCACAGGAGGCCCAGGAGGAAGCCCCAGGAGGTCACCAAGAGGTCCCAGGAGGCCCCAGGAGGCCCCCGCAACTCGGAGCTCTGAGACGCCGCGCTCGAGGTGGTCCGGCCCGTTTCGCCTGAGACTTCCTCGCAGCACGTTACGCCAGAGACATCGTCGCAACTCTGGGGTCCGAGATGCCGCGCGCGAGGTGGTCCAGCCCGTTACGCTGGAGACATCCTCGCAACTCTGGGCTCCGAGATGCCGTTCGGGATGAAGAGGAGGTGGAGGAGGAGGAGGAGGAGGAGGAGGAGGAGGCATGTTTTAACATGCCATGCCAGCCCGCACTGGACGGGCACGCAATCGACCTTGGAAACCGCAGTGGGTCTAAAAACCCTGTTTGGGGATACTGCACTCCGGCTATAATTTTGTTTGAGTATACCCCTCGCGAACTCGCAATGTTGGGCAACAGCGATGTCGACAACATCTCATTTGTGTGAGGATGTCTCTAGCGTCATCGCCTTTTTGACTGAAAGGAAGGCGTGCTCGAGCCGTCTTGTTGGGTTATGTTGGGTCGTCGCGAGGTCTTCCAAAAGAGCGATCCCAAAACATTTCAGTCTTTGCGGATGCCCCCCCCCCCGGAGAGGTCGCCATGGGGCCCATAGGGGGGGGGGGCCCATGGGAGCGGGGAGGCCGCGCGGACTTGGCGGGGCCTATGGGGGGGGGAGGCCAGCGTACGGAACACATTTAGCCCGCGCGGGCCGAGCGGGGGCCCCCGTCGTGGAGAGGCCCGCCGTGCAGACCAAATCTGGTCCGCGCGGGCCGAGCGGGGGCCAGCGGGGGCCCACCGTGCGGGCCAGACTCGGTCCGCGCGGGCTCGGCCGGGGCTTCGCCCGTAAGGGTTCAGCGTGCGGTCCAGATTGGTTCCGCGCGG